TGGAAACAACAATCGAATGCTCGATATACAACAAAATCTTATTTGTCCAAAAATTTGACATAGTTTTCTATTTTGTGTACAAAAAATCTACACGCTTGAATTGAAAAGTATTAGGACACTATCGAGATATAAAATTATTAAACCTATAACAGATACGTTGTTTAAGAAATCTTAAATCTCAGTACGCCATAAGTACGCCAATATACCACAATAACAGTTGCACCAAATGTGTATGTATAAAATACCACAAATTTACAGTCAGACCAAATGCCCTAGTATTTATGGGCACTTACCTACGTATGTTTATATACACAATAATTATAGAATTATTTTTTACGTAATTCAAAAGGTTTCAAGAGACGACTCGAATAGCAACAAAAATTTGTTATAAGTGTCATTTTTTAATGGATTTTTCAAGATTTTTTTTACGTATATGCGCATAATTTGTTGTATGTTATAGACAAGATTATTATGCATTTATCCATGTATAATAGCATGACTTTGAAATGTCCTTCGACTCTAAATATTTTAAATTTATTTATAAAAAAATTACTCTAAAAATTTTGAATTCACTTATATAATTTTGTCCACCACCTGATTCGCCTCTTGAAACCATTGAAAGTATGTAAAAAATATTTCTCGTATGATCGCAGATAGAGAAAATATTTAGGTGGCCTATTTCAAGCGGTACACTCTGTATGTTATAACATTTTTCTTTCTGTATTTCTAACAAGTTTCTTAACTGCGCTATATAACGTGTTATGCTACACAGGGACTTAAACCGGTATTATTTTGATACCGGTATTATGCCATCAAAGCTATACCGAAACCGACATATTACCGAACACCAAAATAAATACCGGTATTTTTTCGGTTCGTATAAGGGTAGGGCTTATACATATAGAGTTATATAGGGCGAAGGTACAACTGAAAATACCGGTATTTTACGTTTCAGTAGAAGTCCCTAATGGTACATAGTGCAGACGCAGCTTTAGTCGCATAAGCGACAGGTTAACACTCGAACCCCCAGCTAAATGACGACGTTAACAAACCCTCAAAAGAGAGATGTTCCGATGGAGCATTTCCTTTCGAAACGAGACTCGTGGTACATATTCGAACACGCGTTTGACACGGGGCGCGAAAGATCCGCGATATGCTGATTTGCATGTGGGGTGAGGGAATCGCTCGAGTGGAGCCGACAAGGGCGGGGACGGAAAAAAGCTTCCTGGTCGCGCGACGTAATTCAAAACAAGGCTACCGTACTGGTTTCGAGTTTCATGCTGGAGCAAAAAAAGCTAGGGGAGAGAGAGAGTTCGAGGGTAGGCGGGAAGCTAATTTGAGGTTAGGCTAATTTTGCACGCAATGAAAAAAAACGTCGCTTGGGGAGGCAGCCACGAACACGCGGATAAAAAACGCGGACGTGGCTTGTGGGGGCTTGTAGAAGTAATTAGAATGGTGATTTCGTTATGGGGGGGGGGGGCAGTTGGTATATAGAAGAACCTTCGTTCGCCTATTTTGGACTTTGAATTGTCGAATACCGTCGTGAAATCGTGACGAATTTTAAACTGATACCTACTTAGATTAGTGTTTAATATGGGGCTTTATATTCTAGGAGGGTATGCAGGTGTTTTGATATTTGCTGATCTACTTAACCCTTCGCGGATGGAGTTCGTTAAGGTTGAATGCTCTGCGGGACCGTGTTTGGTACTGTGGTAATAGTCGAAATGCCTTCATTCAGTCCATTATAAGACATTTATGATTTTTTCTTCGGAGGATAGCATAAACTAGAGATTCGTCGAACCCATATATGAGCAACGTTTATTTTTTTATGTTAAATATATTGTGAGTCACAGGAGTATTCGTACCCTCGCAATTCTTGAATTCGTATGATTAATATTCTTTAACAATATACATTCTGATACGTTTATCAATAAGGATATATTGTGCAATAACTAAGCTTTCGAATAGTGTATCGTTCATTCAAAATAGTGATGTACGTACATGAATGGAAACTCAGCAAATCATCGATAAGTTAACCTTAAAGTATTGAAATTCGTACAATTTAAAGGGCCACAGGACATTGACATATATTTACAAATATTTTGATTCCACAAGGATACAGCTGGTATGAGTACGAATATTTTTGATTCCACAAGGATACGGCTGGTATGAGTATGAATATTTTTGTGAGTTTCATTTATATTACTATGAATGTATATACTACAGTACTATGAGTTTTCACTTATATTACTATGAATCTCATATTAATAAAACTTATATTAATATGTTATTTTTCAATAAACGACGCATCATTCAAAAGATTAGATATTGCGCTACATATCCCTATTGGTAAACATTATAGAATAGATTTAGTGTTAAAGAATTATTAGTCATTCGAATTCGAGAATTGCGAGGGTACGAATACTTCTGTGACTCACTGTATAGGTATATGTATAAATACAGAGACTACTCCGAAACCTTCCGCAGAACGCATTATAGGTTCATCGTTTGTAAAGGATTAAAGAAGGCGAAGGATTGAGGAAGTAAAATTACAAAATTGTGTGAACACGATGTCGCAAACGAATAGTTAATGGTAAAAGAAATCTTCGAATTTATAGTACTTATAAGTGTTTATAAGGCAATTACATTGTCTGCAATTATTTTGGGTGCTGACGAGATGTATTACTAGTATTGCTCTTAATATTGATACCGGTAATATTCCATTACTAATTTTTAATGTCAATTTATCTTATTGAATACACATTTTTGTCATCATGTTTGTAGCACATGTTTTCATTTCAACTTTCATGTTATTGTGTTTTCAAAATTATATAAGTGAATTCAAAATTTTTAGAGTAATTTTTTTATAAATAAATTTAAAATATTTAGAGTTGAAGGACATTTCAAAGTCATGCTATTATACAACTTACCTTCTATGCCAAACTGTTTCTACATACGCCTGATAAAACCTTTGCACTGTTACTGTAAATCTAAAGTGTTTTTTTTTAATTCAGTTTCTTATGCTGTCGACATCTTTGTATTTTTTCCTTCCCAATAAATGTTGTAAACCACACAGTTGTTTATAATCAGAAGGACTTATGGCTGAATTGTACTATTCAACAATTCTGGGTGTACTAATGCTATTTGTTTCTTTAATTTTACTAATGCGGACAGTATATGTGAGAAATAATAATTTTATTAGCCAATTACAAGCGAATACTACTACTAGCAGAAAGTAATCAAGCAAACGGAATAACATGATCAATAACATAATTACTTATATACCCAATGTGAAAGAGAAAGTACTTTGTATATACGAAATAAAATTAATTACAATCTACACTTAGAGTATAACTACGTAAGTATTGAATATACAATACGATGAAAATGGTAAAATACGGTGTAAATACTATTTACTAAATAGTATCACGTAATATTCAAATTCTCAGAACAAGGAAAATGATAACTACAGGAACCAGAAATATTCCTCAAGGTCTAAAAATGATCGAGTGCTTCCTTCTCCTTCTGTGTTTTTCCCATAAATAAAGATATCTATTTTTATATTAATATCTTGCTTAGATACAGATAACTCTATGATAAACATTAAAATAAAAATATAACTCTCTAACATCTGTACGCAATATTATTCTGAATATACCTATGTTTAATTTATTCATAACACTTAATTTATTACATCACATACTACTATAGTAATTTTAGGAACACAGTTTGTTGCAAAAGTAAATTTGACAACAGTTCGAAGCTTTTACTATTCGACAATGCATACGGCGTTAACTTGATGTAATATAGAGAAAAACTTTCGAAGTTTCCGTCACCGTTTGTTGCCCGAACAACTTTTCTTTCTTCGGAAGTTCTCGTTTGAATACACGTTTCTGTGTGAAATGACAACATTCTAGGGACAAAAGGCTAAACCAACTAAACAATTAAAGAGCCGTCTTACTATTGAATATCCGATAAAACCACGACACACGTAACGTATCAGAACTGGCACGAACGTGTCTGCAAACTTTCTCTTTCAACGACACAGATTAAATAAACAATTGCGTTCACGCGTCGTAATCACTCGTGGCGAATTTCCATTGGTGTTACGCGTATAGAGAATTTATTTGTACAGATTTTCAACACGATTATGAACAAGTATTTGAACTTTTGTGGCACCTAACAAAATTACTTCAGTAATATATGCGAATACATAATGGATTTAAGCGAGAATATATACGCATAAAATATTTATTATCAAGTAAAAACTTATAGAATATTGCGATTCTAGTCATTACGACACGTATGCAAAATATTGTAGTAAAACAGTTTAAATAGGAATATTTTCGTAACTGACTAATATTTTAATACAAAAAGAAATTGTACGACTAAGACCACAAATCTGATAATGTTATTATCTACTTAAATTTAAAATCATTACAATTTCTTCAAAATTGTACTCTAATGAGACGTTTAACTCTTTTTCTATTTTAGAAAATCATCACAAGCATAAAACAATTAATAAATAATATTATAACATAAATCTCATGTCTTTCAGCTTAAGTAACTATCTATTTAAAATTAAAATAACTATCATTTATTTAAAACTGTACACTAATTAGAGGATTAATTCTATGTTCTACTTCAGAAAGTCTTTACAAGCATAAAACAACTAATAATTAATATTATAACACAAAATCTCATGTCTTTCAGCTCGAGTAATTATGTACTTAATAAAAGGATATTCTATTTATTGTATTCTATGTCTAACCCAACTATTAATGAAGCTAATAAAAGTGTTACTAGGAATATAATAATGATAACGTCCACATAAAATACGTCATCGGTATCGCTAAATAGCTTCAAATAAAAAAAGTCTGTAAGGTGTTAAACACGTCACAGAAAAACAAGTCTACTCAAAGCGTGCACAAACAGATACATTTTACCGTGTTTCCATCGGACTCCGCGTAAAAATTTGAATATTTATCGTTGTTACTGACCTGTTGATGGCCAGGACGCGACTGAGGCTGGGAGAGAACCTGGCCTGCATGGTCTACTTGCACCGCTGAAACTATCACAAGCATTTGATGTTTTATTCGGTCTTGATGATGATTCTTTCGTTTTTTTTTCTTTTTAAATTACGTTACTTTTATACACGAAATAATTTCGAACAAAGAACTAGGACACGATCGACATCCGAAGGATCTCATTAATGCCAAAGAACTTCGATTAACTCGAAAGTACACCGTGAAATCCGCGCCCGGAAATCGTAAGTGGTCGCCGCGCGCGGTCATTATAATTTCTGAACTGATTCGGAGAAACTACAGAGCAGGCCAGACTCTCTCTCGCCTCGAAACCGACGCCTCCGTTGTGAATTGTATGCAGAATTCTTTATACAGCCGTTTCACTCTGTTCGCCTTGGAAAACTGTGACCTGCGCCTCGCCCCGCACCGCAACGGTGTGTCACAATAATAAACATTGAGCACTGGATCGTTCAAGTAGTACAGATCAATAATAACGCTTGTGGTTTTCATATTGCAGTCCAATTGTCGTTTCATTCTTGGCACGCGGAGTCCAGTTTTATGGCGAACGCGGAGACTTTGGTGATACACGAGATTTATACATTAGCAGTGAAAGAGTATTAAACGCGTCGATAGTAGTACGTTGACTGAATATAAAATTTATATTTTAAAGGTGAATTGCTCCCATTCGGTTAATGTTATCTGTGAAATATATTTTATTATTATCCTCGCTGTCAGATCACGGAATTGTCAGCTTTGTATCGAAGAATGATACGTTGTAATTGGATCGAAGGCGTCGGGGAGTCGAATTTATAAACGCCTTCTCTGGCACAAAGATGATTAGACGTCGGGTTTTTATGGAAATTCGTACATTTATGGGAAAATTTGTGAAAACACAAATTGAGCAGTACTTTACTTCCTTTATTAAGGGTTTATTAAATAAATTATGTTCTGCATATTCAAGCATAAAATCCGCAGTCCAGTGAACATATTTCTTATGATATTATTGCACGAATAGTATAAAATGAAAATTATAATGAAAAATTCATTATTCATTCAAATTATAGTAAAATATTATAGTTTATATGTTTACTATAATGTATATGGTTCATAGTCTTCTTTTGAAGAAGCACATTATAAACATTGTAATCTTAAAAATAATGTACTAGGTGTATCAATAATATAATCCACTATGGTTTGTCATATTCAATAGGTAGGTACTTATGGTCGATGAAATCAGAAACCTGCTATTTCAGTGATATTTATCCTCATTCTAGAATATTTGCCACCATTTTGAAAGATGAGAAGGTTAGAAAAATCTTTTAAATTTAAATTGTATTTTTAAAAAGAAATAGCCCAGATAGCACACGACGCCTTGAAGACGTCCATTTTACGGTTATTTTAGGTCTAAGGCGCCTTTAAGCCGTCTTCTAGGCGTCATTGGACGTTATATGCTATTTTGGAGTGGATTACCTATTGGTAGATCTAATTTGTCAGATGTCGTTTCTATATGAAATATAAGTGTGTGGATAGAAGAAGTTTTCAATTAAACGAAGCGAACGAATTAGGTATATTGAATTACTAAATAGAAAATTATAACAAAAGAAGTAACTCGAATGAAATGAGTACTTTTTTCCTTTTCGAGCTTTAAAAAATTCAGATTCACATCTCTGTGAGCAAAATACTTCCCCTTGGTTAAATGGCAACACTGTGTGTGTAGTTAAGTATAGCCGTTAAGTATAGGCGTAAGGTAACGAACCTGTAATTAACATGCGACGCAAAGTGCGCGTATGAAATTGTGGGTCGATAAAGGATGTTAAGTAAAGCGTTCTACTTTTGCAGTCGTTCTGAGTAAAATCTTTCAACTTTCAACGCGTTTTCATCGATATTTTTTGGAGTCATGCAACATTGACATTTCAATATTTTCACGATTACAATGGCATCTGTGTAATAATTAATTAAAGCCATGGTTGGAAATTAAAAGGAGAACAGAGTGATTTCTTAGAAAAATATAAGGACCAATTAAAACTCGTGAATATATCTTCGAGTAAGTAGAAAAACGTAGTGTATATTTAATGTGTAAATCCTTATTAATTTGTAATACAGCAATACTCGGTTAAATATTAGATATATTTTCATATCAAAATATATCAACGTTGATATCCAAATATATAAAGTTGCTACAGAAAAAAGGTAGAAAGAAAGGAAAGAATACAGAAAGAAAAGTTAAAATATGAAAATGAAAAGTATAAGAATATAAATAGAAATGTATAACGAGTGAAGTCCAGCTATATGCAGTAAACTATTATTCTAAATTAACAACATTTTTCATTCGTTTATTGAGCTGTAGAACCAAGAATATATATTTGAGTACACATACTTATTAAAAAATCATATCTTTAAGGTAAATAAGGTGTTTCAAGTGTTTAATCTTGGATATCGTAAATCCCTATGGGTTTTGCCTAATACAAGACAAGATCGAGTACAAGACTGTCTACATCCTGGATCAAGTAGCCCTAACACGTTCCGCATCATCTAGGACAATATGCAAAAACCATACAGGTAGCATAAAATCGGTCTCAAGTTACGCCGCCTTCGCTGTCGAATACATCAATAGAGTGCACCGACTCGAAAATCTCGCGATTCCAAAACGTATCCGAGAGCAGCTTCATCAGCATCGTTTCCGTAAATCATGCGAGGGCATCCTTTCACTTTTATTCTCCGAAGCGTGCAGAAAAAAAGGTTCGAAAGAAACGCTCGGTGGAGGGCAAGAAAAAAGGTAAGAAATGGGGTGGGGGGGGGGGGGGGGAGGGGACAACGACGAGGACGAGGACATCGGTCGGTCCGGGTGCTTAATAAAAATCGAAGTCGTATGGTTGCGCTGCCCCCAACCCCCCTGTCACACACATATACTGCTCGTCGAGAGAAAGACAGAGCGAGGATCGAGCCCGAGGAGGGTCGCGGCACGGCGGATCCTCCGGACGCGTTTGTGTGTCCCCTTACACGGATTTCACAGGGAAGCGTGTGTTTCATTCGGTGCCCGCCCGCACGCCCTGCCCCGTGGGCCAGTGTGTTATGTTGCCCATGTGTGTGTGTGTCAGCGCGGGCGCGCGCGCGCTTTATAGGGTTTATAGCAAAGAACGCGAGCGGGTTGGCGCGCGCGCGCGCGCGCGAGCCCCTTTGGCCACGAGTACGGTAGCGATACGTTTCTCCGACAAATAAATAAAACGAAACCGTAAGCGAGGGAATAAAATGTGATTTACAACGGTGAAAAGACAATGGCCGAGGCTCCGCACGATAATGTATGCGGATGGCGCGGACTGGTACCCGGGGATACTGACTTCTGATTGGTCGTGCCCCGACGACAGCGCTACAACGGAAAGCGATAAATAACTGCGAGCAGATAAAACCTTTCTTTCTGCCTTGGGCTTAGCCTGGCCACTCTCGCATCGGGCTTAGCACTCGAGGCTTCTTTCCCTTTCTCTCTCTCTCTCTCTCTCTCTCTCTCTCTCTCTCTCTCTCTCTCTCTCTGTGTCTCTTTCTCTTTCTCTGTTTCTCTAGCCTTCTTCTTTTGCTTCTCCTCTTTCCCCTCTGGCCAACCATTCACGCTTTTCTTCTTCATCCCAATTCTCTTCTTCTTTTCGCGAAGTCGTCTCGTTGCCGCTTCCACCGAACGATTCTCAAATCATGAGGGCCGGTTCGCACGAAACACGACAGCCGCCGCCCGCCACCGCGCGATACGTGACGAGACGCTCCCGTTCCATCTGTTCTCTCGACTCCCCTCCTCCACCCTTTTCTAGCGTCCTCCTATCGGAGTTTTGCGAGCTTTCCGAACAATCCGCCCCCCACCGACGGTGGCCTGGATTTCGCGGAACGTCTCGTTTTTGTCGCCGCCTTGTCAATCGGACTTTCCTTTTCTACTGATTTCACTCGGACGGAAGATCGAGTAGGGCGAGCGCGACACTCGCCTTCGGCGCCGTTCTGCTTCCTTTCTTATCTCGCGCGCCCGGCACCCTGACCGGTCGTAATCTCCGGTGTAACGGAGACACCCAGGCATGGATTTGGTAAAGAACGACGCCTACGACCACGCATTTGCATCGTGGACTGTTAGTTTGAGAATCGTGGAGACGATGTGGTTTCGAAAAGGTTCACACTTTCGATTTTGATGAAACTTCATGAAATTGTCTCAGATACTCCTAAATGAATATATGTAAAAGGATTTTTGGCACAATTGAAAAGTACAATTTTTTACAAAACATCCTTTTATGTATGATCATTTGAGAATATCTGAGAAAAGTTTGCCGGGTTTCATTGAAATCGAAATGTGGACCTTTTCGGAACCGCAGCCTGTGGAGACAGTGATCCTATGGATATTCGATGATTCATAGTTTTTCTATTGTTCAGTGTTCCTAGATAAAATCTTTTGACAGTCTCTTCTATGTCTCTATGTTTATTCATTGCTGACGATTATTCTTGATTGTAGACGTTGAAAGGTTAAGAAATTTTTAAGAAACATTTGAGTGTTCGGAGGCTCCTCTGCACTGAACATTAAATATTTCATAAACTAATGGCCATATACGTCTGAAACAAATATCATTGGCTTCAGAGTTTCAAGCTCTATTACTTTGTTAAACCTTGTTCTAAGTTTATTGGCTTTAGCCGTGATAAACCATGGTAGTTGTCTTGTTATTACACTATTTACGGTGGTTCATGTTGCTTGACCGCCACAAAAATGTACGGGGAAATGGTAGTATTAAAATGCTTACACAGAGTGGAACACTTGATATTATCATCTTAATATACGTAAATATTATTATCTGTACAGAAAAATAGATTAGTGTAAAGTTGTTTGGTTTCAAGGAAGACATAAGATGGGTCAAACGGACTTTTTCTGGGTACATGTTCTCATTTAACAAATCAAAGGACACCTGCAAATTTCCGAAATGACTCAACACAGAACAATTTCATTTGATCCATCTAATGCCCGTCT